TGTGGCCGTAATTTGGTTCAGTGTAGGTGTTAACGTAAGTAATGTTTAATCACGACGTCATAAATATACGTAAATCATATTAAGACGTAACATGAGGACCAAAGCATAATGGCGTCAAATATAAAAATAATTACACAGAAAAGGAGTTATATTTTTACCACGAAAATTATAAAAAAAACCACACGAGATGCTCTGGTGTATGTAGAAGACTAAATTAGTAAAAGCATTTAAAAGAGAGAAGAGAGAGAGTAAAATGAAGAATGGGAGAAATCCCATTCGTCATTTTACATTGCTTTAATTTCTCTCACATGGACCTCTTAGAGGATATGTATATATAGAATTGTTAAGGTGGGTCAACGTTAGGTGATCCGAGAATGAGCGGAGCCATTTTGGGCATCGCCATCCGCTGCGTGAAGAGCCTACGACGATCACTTTCCTCGAACGTATTTTCCACAGTGCAGTCGGGGTTCTTGGCGAATATGGACGAGTTTGATGTTGCAGCAATTATTATAGACGAAGTCAGTAAAAAAACTAAAATGCCAAGAAGATGGAGATCTACAAATTTATATAAAGACGAATCCAGTCGACAAAATCCAGATTTGTTAATCACTTTCAGTGGTCAAGAACGTATGGTACTCAACACGTCCACGAGCGCCCTACGAGCTCGAGCCCTTTGTGTTCGTAAAAACCGACAATTGGTGGAGCGCAGTCGAGCACGAACTAAATGCTCGAATCGCGCTCGTTCGAGGCTTGTAAGTCGGGCTAAACGTTTATGATTGTCTTTATGAAGTTGGGTTAGCAATTCGCTTAAAACAAGATTAAGTAAAAAGTATTTCCAAATAGTAAGTAAAGTAAAAATGATATTTTGCAGTATTAAAGACGGCGATGTTCAAACTATAATTTTATTCTTGTGTCAATTGTGGAATCTAGAGAATCGCTTGTCCAGGGTTATGGTTGAAGACGTCCAAAGATACGAGTGGAACAAGTGAAACCTGACCTAATATGGCACATTTGAGTGTTTTTCTAAAAGGATTAATAAATAAATACGCATGTATTGTTTCATCTACTAAAAAACTTTTTGTACATTTTACTTGTGCAAAAACAATTCATGCTGATATGTTACAGCAAAAACGTAATAGTAGGCAATAGTTTATAGTTGAACTATTCCAAATACCCTTGAGTTTACATATTATGGCGTAATTGTCCACTTTATACATATCGGCCAGTATACAGTGAAGTAACATCTTACTTGTTGTAGACCTACATTCGGAACATTATAATTTTGTTTGAGTATAATTAGCAATAGCATTAGTTACTGTTTAGAGGTTAACGAAAGTGTATTGTCCCGTTACTGAATAACAGTTGCAAATTGATTGGGTAATAATTGTATGTTTGTTTATTTGGAAAGGTTTATTAATGGTCACAGGGACATTACTCTTATTTAAAATGATTGTAGACGGTTGATATAATAATTAAGTATTATTATATGGTCTTGGTCGCTAATAAGCCTTCAACTTCCCGTCGGTAGTGTAATTAACTAAAGAATGTTGGTTTCTGAGTACTTGCATCATATTAGAGTTGTTCTCCACGCTTGGTACATATTTATTAAAATTACTGTTCATTTAAGTCTATTTACTTATTTTTTACAATTAAAAAACGAGAATAGTATTCGAACTCCGTAAAACTTAATTTGCAACTATCCTGTCCGAGCACGCAAGGAGTCAACGAAATATTTTAATTTTATGAAATCAGTTAATCTGGTTATTTAACTACACGTAAAAAGTTTAGAAGACTTTATCTTTTTCTTTCCTTATACGAGTAGGTTAATGTCCAATACATGATAAAATATTAGATTAAGCAGGTCATAGAATTCCAAACAGATTAGAAAATCTTGTAACCGCAATGGTTATTATCAGGATCAAATTAAAAAAACGCGAATTACATAAACAAACTCAAGTCTACATGCATTAAATTAAGAATATGAATAATGATGTTTAATAATATTTTGACCTTATTCATGAAGACGATGTGTCCTTTTCATATAAATTTGGTTTATCTGAACAGATATCCTAAATTAAGACATTAAAATTTTATAAAACTGCCATAATTTGTATAAAAATGAACTTAATGGTTTATCTTACAAGTCAGTGCCCCCAAATCCACTGAGTTTATTAATTAATAAACTCAGTGGATTTGGTAACAGTGATAAACTAGATAGTCTAGATCACTTTATGTCGCTACTTTTAAATAAAATAGTGGAGATTTCTGGGATACGACAAAAACTGTTCTTCAATGACTATCCAAGATATTTTTCAAATTGATATTTGCAACATTCTTTTTTTATTAATAAAATATTTTAGTATATGTTGAATAACGTATGCCTGGTTTGAATAGGTAAATATTGGTAAACACTCCAAAATATTTTATTCCGAATTTAGATGTTCCGATTTTCGAAAGTCCGAATTTTATAATACCTAAGAATTATAATGTATGTTATTAAATTTAATGAAATTTTATTTTCTCGATTTCCATACGTTTGAAGATTGAAATGCCCGATGGGTTCGCTGTCGACGAACATTCCGATTTGCAATACTTCGAATAAACATCCAAAATTAGGACTCTGATTCAGTTAATATAATATTCAGTTACGCATGTATATTCAAAATCATTAAACGTTTAATTTAATATAAAACATCTAGTTTTGTTATTAATATTTGTGTATTAATATTTTTCTTGAGTTTTCCTCTTCGCCTCATGTATCTGCGTCGGGTACCATCTACTGGTATTGAATTCTTTGTAACTAAAAGATTTCAAGGTAGGAAAACAGATTAGGTTAGAACTGTGACCAGCGGAAAAAAAATATTTTTATGTTCGAATTTTTGATGTTTCGAATCATCATCTATTGAAACTCGGTATTTTGAGTATAGTTATTATAAACGTTAGGAATATTGGAATTTTTTAGTTATAAAATTAGGATGAATGATAAATCGGAGTTTTTAGGAATTTTTAACCATTCGGAATTATGAAAGTCGGTATTTTGAAATTCGTATTTGTGACTGACAGAATACTGTTTTTATGTAGTGTATCCGTAAATATAGTATTACCGTATTGGACAAATAATTTATCGGTAAACAAATATCAAAAGGATGTTTGTGTACAGTTCCCGAGGTCTCTTTATGGTGAATTCAATTGACTAATAAAGTTGTCAAAATACAAAGCGAAACATATTTTCGATGAAACCTATAACCAGTGGGCTGAATTTTTTGGAAAGACGTTATGGGACCTATGAAAAAGGTAAATCAATCATTATTGTGGTTAGAAGACTACGAGTAAGTCAATCACCATAATGTTTTTCTTTATTTAAAACGTGAGAATAAGATTCTAAATACACAAAATGCATATTAATAAATGTATTTTTATAATATTTTGTTTAAACGATTTTTAGCAGAAATACTAGTCTCATCGTTTCCGTCGATATAATCTTAATCCGGTTCGTTTTATAACATTTCTCTTCACGTAATAAGATTTAATTGCATAACATCTCAATGACTGGCAAAATAATCGGTAACAAATCTTCATTATTATGTTAAGTAATAATTATATTTTACTTACATTACATTTAGTTGCTGATTCAAGTGTTCAATAAACAATGTTTTTTTTTTAATTGTTGCTTCACTTAATAATGTGTAGATACTTAGAAGAAAATGATACCTCTTTCTCGTAAAATCACGAATGAATGAATTTTGGGTTTTATTAGTCAATGACCTAAATAGAAGATCATATTCAAAAATAAAAAATAAAAGTAAGAAAAGAAGTAATTACATAACTTGAACAACGGTTTCATTTTGCAAAATTTAAAGAACAATTTAAATTTGCTAATTGGCTTTATAAAATCTGACCATTTCTGTTTGTATCGTCTTATTTCTCTTCTGTTGAAACAAAATATTAATTAGTCAATCAATATATTCCATTTACACTATTTTGCACTACATACCTGTAGGCTTCCCTCCCCAGCCTGGGCGGCTGGTGGCAGAAAGACTTTTCAGGTACTTGTGCATTTTCATTTCTGAGACTTACTTATATCCATTCATGATTAATGAAGTCGACCGACGTAGTTTGTTGGTTGACCTAGTTGTCAATTCCTTCGATCCTTATGTTCATAAATAAATGCATGTAAATTAGATAAGCTGAGAATACCTAGTATAAATAACGGCAGTTTACGAGATTGATCTATTGAATGATATTAAACTGTTGGCCTTTCATTAGTTCTAAAGGCCTTTGTCGTCAAAAATTATCAGCCGGCTAAGTGTCAATGTTCTTTTTTCCATTGTCAAGTCCGTTTACCTAATTGATAAAATCTTGACAATTGATTAACGGTTTATGAATTCACTTTTGTCAGAACTGCTGACAAATTTTATCACAATCGTAAGTTGCTCTATAAAGTGACAGACTGATTCTATCTCATTGCCCGTCAAGATAAAAAATAATAATGCCTTTGTCAGATTACCGTTTCATGTTTCCTTTTTTGAAAGTATGGATGTATGACCATTGTATGCAAATTGGCTGTGGGTTTATTATTGCTATTTAAATATTTATTTATATTGTAATAAAAATGGGTGCTTTCATCAAACATAAACATACACTTTTCGTTAATTATTTCAACATGCTTCCGCATAAGTATATATATACGTACATAAGTGTTTTTTCCAGCTTGGGGAAAAAGGTTTTTGTCTAGAGGGTTATCAAAATTGTACTTTTGGGTCATAATCATAACTTCATCAAGAACAGTTCTTGACATTTAAAATATCGTACTAAAATAAAATCATCTGGAAGTGTTAAATAAGGTGATTAAAAGATCATACAAATTAATTAACGCTAGACTTTTAATCAAATTTATTTGTAATAGCCATAATATAATTATGTTGGGCGAATCGACCTCAAGTATACACTTTATGACTTGAAAAACAAGACATTTATAAATTCTATAACAAACATTTCAGGTCCAGTTCTGTTCCCTCCATCTCCCAGCGGTGATCCTGGCCAGTCAAGTGGTGTCGTCGTGGGTGCTTCAGGCTACGGCTTCGTACCCCCCGGCTCGCAAGGTAAAGCCTACGGCCGATGAGTAACTAGTCAATACGTAGTTAGTACTAATAAAACCAACACAAAGTGTAACACGACGTTAATTTACGATATACATATAAGTAACGTGTCATAAACTTTTGTCAGATAAGAACCTGTATTTATTTTAGAGTTAAGTGAAATTAGCAAATAATAGCTTGAGATATTTAAGTAGACAAAAAATTACCAACAATTCGTGACAGAAGTAATTATATATCTGAAATTTAAGTTATGTAACTAAATTACTTAGATAAATTATGTAAGAACATTGTACACAAATTGAATATAATGACAATTTGGTAGACCTACCAGTCTCAAGGCTAGACTGTTTCTAGGCATTTAGAGTATAGTTAGTATTAAAAAACTTCGCGTTACAACTTTGTGTATTTAACTGTAACAATTTTAATATGTTATTCTACCAAAAACGATTAATTGGAGAATAGCATATTGAGTGTAAATTATTTTTTGTTAAATATTGCCGTAGTTAAATTTAATTGCATGGGTAGTTTTTGCATGAGTTATTCCCAACTGACTGTTTTCCCCTGGGAATGTTGGTTTTAGGTATTTTGCCAATGGCGGGAAAATGGTTATATCATGTTGTTTAGTTTTTTTTCATGATGTACATGTTTTTATGATACATTAATTTTTGTTCTTTTTATTTTTAATTATATCATGTTGTAAATGAAGCTGTGAATAGAGCCCATGTTAGATATAATTATAAAATAAATATAATGAATTTTGATCTGTTTTATTTATTACCCGCGTTGCACAATAATTTGCATGTCTGCACTGCCAGTACCCACACTAAGAAGAAAGAAACCTGCCGATGTAGTTGTGATAATAACTAGCAAGTGAGCCGGTTTGTGCTTCTATATATTCTCCAATATTTTAGTTTAATAAGTTTGAAGAAACATACCTGTGCATGTTTATTTACTGTTCACTGTGATACTTTGCTTTAATCCACCGATTATATTCGATTCTTAGGAATCGTTCACTTATTATTATTTAGAGGAATGGTTTTATGGACCTTGCACTTGGTTTATGTTGTAGCAAAATGCACTTGGTTTACTGGCCGCACCAAATATCTGAATTTGAATATTTCAATATTAAATTGTATTAACGGTGTCACATCTGATTTTTTTAGCATGTTTTAAGACTTTTTATAATTGTGTTTCTTTATATATACGTTTTTTTTGTGACTAACTAATAGCTGAAACCTGTGTTATTTTATTTTGTGACTAACTAAATAATGAAACGTTCTATGAGCGTAAATATTAATACCGTAGTTATGCTTTTGAATTGCTTGTGACAACCCATTTATTTCAACATAACAAACACAATGTCAGACTCCAAGCATTTCGAACAACGCGTTCTTTTACGGGGTATGCCTTAGTCACCTGTTAAGAATCAAGTGGACTTAGCACATGTGTGGAAAACTTTACCTCTGTATATGTTAGAAAGGCTTGCGTAGAATACGTTGCCGTATCGGGATAGTTTGCGGGATGCATGGGTATTCATCGTACCCAGGTTAACGCCCATAAAGGCCGGAGATCTTTCAGAGCTTTCAATTATAAAGGTCCCGCAATGATAGTACATTGGGGTTAGCTTCGACATAAACGACTCATGAACTTATCGAGGCAGCCATGCTCAGAAGGCACTCACATCCGTCAGAATAAATGGCTCAAATGGTAGCCATTTTGCTATAGACCAAGTCCTTACAATAATTCCAAGCACATTGTATCAAAAAATATATCAAAAGAATGTAAGTTATGTAAGGGAATTTTAAGATAGGTATATCTGCTGAGAGACGAGCAGATGCAACATGTTAATAATTATACTTTGTATTATGTAGAAGCTACAACATGATTATCATTGAGGCGATGTTAGGCTTTTAAAGTAAATTGCAACAATAATTTTTTAAATGTTTTGAAACCATAATGCCTTAGACACACGTGTGTATCTACGTTTAACATAATTATAATATTTAAAAAAATGTAAATGGTTGATAAGAAATAACCTGATCAATGAATATAATATTGATACTTTGGAAATGCTAACAAGAAAATTCTATTCAAAATTTGTGGTTATGCATTTATTCCATAAAATTTCATTTTTTTTTATTTACTAATATTAAGTATGAACAACAACTATAATAATATCATAAAAAAAACGTCTGTTGAAATGCAATTAAAACGCATTTTTAATTACTTTAAGAGCTTGCATTGTATAAAACAGCAAATGATATCAGGAAGTGTTAGTGGGTTAATATTATTATGTCGCCACTTGTCGGACTATGTTTTCCGACAATAATATATACTTTTTTTTTAACAATTATCGACTATTAGTTGTAGTTATGCTATTCAGTTTGCTAAGTAACAACTGTCTCGAGTAAATAAAAATTTCCTTTCAGTATTACACATTGTAGTCTGAATTTTAGTTCAATTTATATGAAGTTAATAAGCTTAGTTGCATATAAATAGATCGCGGACGTATATTTATACTTGAAAAGAGGTTTGTGACAATCAATCCGTATCGAAAGTCGTGATTGCTTGTACAACAACTGACAAAAGAAAATAATTACAAATAAATTTAATAGGGAAACAGTATTGCTTTCTGATCCGGTACTACGAAGGTCAACCATTCGTGCACGATTGGGATATACACGACATAGGGATAGTAATTTTAAACACCTAATTGATTTTAAATTGGTTTATTAAGTAATTTGTGTGACGTCGATATACACAACTAGGTTAATTTGTACTTTTTTAATCATAAACAAGGTAAGGATTAAAAAAAAAACAACTACGTGAAAATATATAGGTAGATAAAATGGCGGCGGTTTTGATATATACTTACACTGTCACTCAAAATTAAAACGAATTTGACAATCCCTCAAACGCAAGAAATAAAAGAAATATACATATATACATACACTCGAAAAATATAACCCTCGTTGTAGCGCAGTCGTATAAAAAGAAAGGGTCTAAGAAATCCTTAATATAATAAACCCTTTTTAAAAAAAAAGTTGAACCGACTTCAAAAAACACCGACAAAGAGCACTAAAAATTAAAAAAAATTACAAATCTAAGTAAAAAACTATAATAAGTACCCTCAATGTAACAGGTAACATTATAATACCAATAGTCCCTTCTAGTCAGTTTGAAGTCGGTGCCAAGCCAAATAGGTGCTTGATAGGCATGGTAGAATGTAGCGCGGCAGCTGCAACAGTCTTCATGCTGCGCAAAACATGATGAACGAGCTAAAGTGGACGCACATCTCCAATTATATTATTATTTTGAATTCTTTAATAAGTAGTTGATAAGTTTGCGCACGTAATTGATCTGGTTGGTCTTTATTAATTAACAAAATCTTCGATGTTTCATTAGAATTATTTTGAATTCTTAATTTTTCATTGTGCTAATATAAAGCTGACATAGACCAGTATTACTTATTGTACATCGAGCTTGGCACCGACTTCAAACAGACTAGAAGGGACTATTGGTATTATAATGTTACCTGTTACATTGAGGGTACTTATTATAGTTTTTTACTTAGATTTGTAATTATTTTTTAATTTTTAGTGCTCTTTGTCGGTGTTTTTGAAGTCGGTTCAACTTTTTTTTTAAAAAGGGTTTATTTTACCATTTTTAGTGTAGGATATGAAAATGACATTGGCGTCCAAACTGATCAAGATCAGCTTAAATTCTTTTCTAAGAAACAGTCAAATTCTTGTGAGTTGCAACCGAACAAAAAATAACTTCCGATTCAATTGACACTGATCTCGAAGGTGAAGATAGGGAAGCTCTAGTGAGACTACTCAACAAATATGCTCAATATTTTATAGAAGGAGTTCCAACTAGAAGGGTTAATACTAGTATGTTAGAAATTAACCTAGTTGACCCACCCAAAATTTAAGAGTTTTTTCCAGAACTATTTTAATAAATTAAGTATAAAATTACTTACAAACGAAATGCGATGCCATCCATAGCAACAAAACGTCTATCCGAATTATTTTAACAAGATAGAATACAAAATTAAAACCTTTTCTTCTTAATACAACGAAAATTACTGTGGTGACATAAATACTGCAAGTTCTCTGCGCATCACATCGCGCAGTCTCTGACAGTTGCCATGATTTGTTTGGCTAAAGAAATACTCGTAGCTAAAACACGTTGTCGGGGCTGTCAAATTCTCAATAATTGTGAGGGTTTCACTCGATTTCTCTAGGATCCCATTATCAGATCCTGAATTGGTGGTAATGGGACCAATTCGGGAGCATACCCTTTCGATTACAAAAAGAATTTTGAAAATCGGTCCACAATTGACGAAGAAATCGCGTAACAAACATACATAAAAAAAATACAGACGAATTGAGAACCTCCTCCTTTTTTTGAAGTCGGTTAATAAATAGTCACGTCACTTCCATACTTACAGAGCGTCACTGTTACTACAAAAATAGTGACTATTATTTTTAGAAATCGTACAAAAACTCTTCTGTTCTAATTAATTAAAAAGCAACTTTTTAATATAAAAATAGAAGCACATAATTAAATAGCGAAAATCCAATCAAAACTTGCGACAGGAAGTTTTCGCAACAACTTTTTATATAACATCATGATTGGTATTATAGCGTTAAAACATTTTCATGAAGTATAATCCTTAGAATTTTCTCAACAGAAGCTCTTAATGAAACAGGATATGACACATTTAGGTACGCCTAAGTATTAAACATCATAGTTTTCGTGTTCAAGTCATGACTCGTGCGCTATGTAGCCTTATAAATAAAAAAAAAACAGTAGAATTGACCTGAGGGCATTGCATTTTGACACGTCAAATTATATTCTATCAATTAAATATGACGTATGCTGTAATGCCTTTGAGTAGGAAATGCTCCAAGCGATTTCGTTCGATAAACAAGTTGCTGAGTCATTTGTGTCATTGTCTACCGCTTTGCTTAGACAACAATGCGTATTGCTACTATTCTATTCACTTGATAGTAGTTTT